ATTCCTCAAACGTGAGGTCAGACACATCTTGGACTCGGTTTACTTCCACTTCTTCATCTACGTCGTGGTCACCTTCGAAAGACGCCAGCTGGTTATGGTGTACTATCATCGGTTTTCCCTCGGAATCTTGCTTATTCGGTAAATGACATCATTGATCTTTTCCATAATGAGGTATGGACCTTCCCAAAACTGCTGCAACTTGGGAGAACAACCTTTTCGCTTTTGGGGATTATAGAGCCAGACTTTGTCGTTCTTCTTAAAACACCCCTTTTCGGCTTGCGTATCGTACCGTTTCTTCATTCGGTCACTAGCGATCTGATGATGGGAACGGACCAACTCGTGTACATCGTCCATTCTTCTTCGTAATTAGATCACATAATCTTCACCTACTACATCTTCTCCAGGTCGACACCCAAACTCTAGATCACAAGGTACTCGCATCTCGCGTCCGAATAGAACTCTGGCTGGTGTCTGGCCTGTGGATTCTTTAACAGCAAATCTGTAGGCCATTGTGAAGAACGGAAGATATTTGTCACCAGTCTTCACATTATCATCCGATTGCGGATGATATGCTGTAGTTATTGTTTTCTTCATACATCGCTTTCAAGATCGCTTTCGAAGTTCCTGCCTTGGTCACTATGGATCTCCAAAGGCACTCCAAATCGGCTGATATATTTTTGGATCAACTTATCTGCAACGGTGGCGGCCTTCTGGTCTGGAAGTGCGTAAATCTCGACCTACTTAGTAAAGTAATCCATTACTACCAACATGTACTTGCCTCCATTTTCACTTTCTGGAAATGGCCCAGCAATGTCCAAAGCTATTCTTTCAAACGGACTTCCAACATTATATTGTCTCATAGGAGCTCTCCTTTTTCGATAAGGCCCGTTACTCGTAGCACAAATAGTACATTTCTTACACCAGTCTTTTACATCGTCGGAACTGTTTATCCAATAAAACCGTTCCCGAATTCGCTGAAGGGTCTTCTTTACACCAAAATGCCTCCTGATGGACTGTCGTGTAACTGACGAAGTACTTCGGCTATTCTGCTCTTTGGGATCACCAACTGTCTTCTCTTCTCTGAACCGTCATCATTTTCCAGGACTCGTTTGAGCAAGCCATCTTCCATGATAAATGAGTCCCACTGGGCCCAATACGTCTTAACTACTGAGCATAGGTTTGATATTTCTTGCCAAGGTGGTCGACGGTTTTCCTCTTTCCATTTTCGAATTTTCTGTACAACTGGATCTCTCTCTTGTTCTTCCCTTATCTTGGTAGGCGTCCAGTCGTCGTTGACCATCGTCGTTCTTAGCACTGCTGCTTCCTTGGATTCCGTTTTGTTGCAGTGGGAACACTCTGCTGGGCATGGCCTTCTGGAAAGAGAATCAGCGTTTCGGTGGCTAACTCCGGCCCGGTGCTCAATCTTGAAATCGTATTCTTGGAGTCGTTCGATCCACCTGGCTATCTGACCCTCTGGATTCTTAAACTGCATCAACCACTTAAGGGCGGCATGGTCGGTTCGGATTAAAAACTTCCTTCCATAGAGGTATTGATAGAAGTGCTCTACTGATTTCACTACTGCCAGAAGTTCTCTTCTCGTGACGCAATAATTCGCTCAGGTTTTGAGAGAACTTTACTAAAATATCCAAGGACTCTTTCCTGTCCTCCTTGAATCTGAGACAGCACTCTCCAATTCCCACATTACTTGCATCTGTATCTAAGATGAACTCTCCTTCTGGCAGTGGATACCCTAAAATTGGTGCTGTGATTAAATGCTTTTTAAGGTCTCAAAGGCATTTTGGCAGTCTGTATCCCAGCGGTATTCTCTTGCTTCCTCTGTAAGTCGCGTTAATGGTTAGCGATATCTGCAAACTTCTTAATAAACCTCCGGTAGTAAGTACATAGTCCAAGAAAACTTCTCACTTGATGTTTGTCAGTTGGTTTTGGCCATTCCTTAATGGAATCGATTTTTCCCTTATCCACGGCACTCCTTCTTTACTGACTATATGACCCAGATAATTGACTTTACCTTGAAATAGCTGGCACTTCTTGGGATTTAGCATCAATTGGGCAGCTTTAAGTCGATTAAAAACGTTTTCTAAATTCTTCAGATGATCTTCAAATGTCTCCCCAAGACGATTATGTCATCTAGATAAACTAGGCATGTTTTCCAAGATAACCCTCTCAACACATTTTCCATAAGCCTCTCAAATGTCGCAGGAGCATTACAGAGTCCAAATGGCATAACGTTGAATTGCCATAATCCAGATCCTGTGGTGAAGGCTGTCTTTTCTTTATCTACCGGGTCCATTTCTACCTGCCAGTATCCAGACTTCAAATCCAAAGTAGAAAATAATTTACTTCCAGCCAATGTGTCAGTCGATCCGAGGCAGAGGATAACTATCTTCTTGGTAACGTTGTTCAGCAAACGGTAATCCACACAGAACCTCGTTGTTCCGTCTTTCTTCTTAACCAGGACCACCGAGAGACCCATGGGCTCGTAGAAGGTTCTATTCCCCGTATTTCTTAATTTCCTGAACAATCGTTTCAGAGTCCTCTCTTTTTGCCTGTGGTAATCGTCGAGCTGTTTGACGAATTGGATTAGCATTACCAGTATCAATTTTATGCTTAACAACGGTAGTTCTTCCGTCTTTCCTCCTTTCGGTACGAAAATATCACGATACTGCCGAAGAAATTCCCTTAATTTCCTTTTCTCAATCTGATTCAGAGACTGTCCAGTAACTGCAACCATTTGGTCGAATTTGTCGTTGGAATTATCAGATGTTGTCGTCTGACGGATTATGGATGTGACAGGTACACAAGTTCCTACTTTTGTCTCTTTCTTGATGGTCACTGGGTAGTCATTGACATTGATAAGTCTCACAGGAATTTCTTTAGCCGAAGTCACCAATTCCTTTCCAATTATGATTCATCGGCCAACCTCGTCGTCATGGTTCCAAGGCTCCATCATAACAGGTGTCCCTTCATCCACAATTCCCTGTAGGCGCGTACTATTATCGTTTCACTTCTCGCAGGCACGACTGTATCTTCTTTAACGGCTGCTTGCATAGTGTTGTCATCATGTGGATGAAGAAATACCTCCTTGTTACCAACTTTGATTACCTTATTCTTAAAATCCAATTAGAATCCATGCATATTCATTACGTTCAAATCAATATTTTAAAATTTGTCATTTACCTGGTTTTCGAAATATAGGTATGTTTTTAAATAACATACATAAGTATAAGATCATAGTTTGGTGTGTATTGAGAGTAAACAAAAATAAGACTAAATACTTACCATGTCGTGATATGTAGTATTATTAGTATTTTTCTGGTTTTTGCTTATAATTATTTACTTCACTTCACTTCACTTCACTTCGTCTTTTTGGCTTAATTATTTACTATGGAATTACCCGAATTACTGGCAGAAGAATTCAACTGTTATGACACAGAATAATAAACAATTGTTTATTATTCTGTGGTTGTAGTATGAATGGACTATAACCACAGAATAATAAACATACAGAATACCCACTCTCCACGGAAAATTAAGTACGCGCATCTCCTCCGCGCAGACGTTCCGCCATGTTTTAGGAGGATTTTAAAGAAATTATGTGAGTGTGCATGGAAAAATTAACCAGGTTTATTTGACTTACGGCAATCATAGACATACTATACAATTATATTAACATTGTTAAATATAATAACATAAATATAATATAATTAAACATAAGTATAAACAATTACATAACCACACAAATCATATGTCTGTGTCCTCCTAAAACATGGCGCGCGTGCTGAAAAACTTCAAAGGCGGCATCTGAGAGTGGCCCTTCTGATTGTTTATTATTCTGTGCTATAACTGTCTTATCATATTGATATCCCAGGCACAGAATACCTAATAACCAATCAGAATGCCCACCCTATTTGGAAAAATAAGTACGCGCATCTCGTTCGCGCAGACGGAATCAGCCATGTTTTAAACGGAACCAGTGCTGTTCAGTGACATTTTATCTGGTGTGCATAGACAAATTAACCCGGTTTAATTTATTTACGGCAACTACAGACATAATATGCACTATTTCATTCGTACTTTTAGTTAAAGAATCGATTAAATTATTTCAAATGTAATAAATTATTAATCTCAAAAATTTAAATTACAGTTCTGTTGTAGCTTGTCACAAATGTCTCAATTCGAGTCTATGTTTCCGTCTAAAACATGGCGTTCGCGTGCTGACAAACTTCAAAGGCGGCATATGAAAGTGGGCATTCTGTTATTTATTCTGTGTTTTGGGTTTGCTCGATGGTTTTGGGACACAACTCAACAATATTGGCAATATCATTTTAAAGTCGTCTACTTTAAAAGGTATAATATAATATATGCCTGAATTGTCAATATAAATGAGTCAGATACAATTAAATTATTACAAGAGTTTTTCACTAAGTAACAAGACACAAAATTTGTTTAATTTATTAATGTTGTAGATATTTTGAAAACGATTTCCAACGTGGAAATCAAAACGTTAACAATAACCGTATTATAAACTTAAATTGTAGCTTATTCCCATTACAAATGGTAATTGCTTAAGATTCCACAAGAAAATAGCTTCAGAACAATATTTTTATTTCATCGCAAAACAATATCCTTTATTTCAAGTTTGTTTAAAATTAAATTTGCCGCTCTTCGGAATAAGTCTTCGATTTGTCAAAAGTTCGTTGGATTTCCACCCGTGACGCTAGTAGCAAATTTCTAGTTTTCATTCATTAATGACGAGACATACTGCATATTTTTGTCAAATGTTACCAAATGTAGTGAATTTGTAAAAAATAATACTGTAAAATATAATATAGTGATCACAAATAGTTATTAGTGTCTTTTTTTACCTGAAACAAGTTGAAATCTTATGATTATAAAACAAAATGATACAAGGAATTGTGTAGGTTGGACGATGAAATTGTCCGAGGATAAATCCGTATTTGTATGCGGAATAAACTTAAATGTGGAGTGCAATATCAAAAATATTTACCAAAAACTTTAGTACCAATAACGTGCAAAGTGACGAAAATATATCAGATGAAATGGACAGAGGGACAAAAAGAAAAACAGACATGGATATCACATTTGTTACAAGGCTGGTAGGTTATTACATTAATTCTATAATCAAATCAGTAAATATATTAAACAAATGTCTCCACACTAAATATTTAACAGTCTTTCCTGCAGGCACCATCATAATATTAAGTATAATACCAATCTCCACACACATACTTAGTTCAGTTGTCAAAAGTGCATGATTTTTTATCCCTTTTATTTGCTTTTTGTAATTAACATAAGTGGTTATGTTACTAGAAAATGTCTTAAGTATTCAAATAAAAGCAAAGTTAAAACTCTTGCATCTGTTGTAAATCATTTAATTGATTTCAATACCAATAATCAGATGTTCAGATGGAATTCTGCAATTAAATTTTAAGTTCTGACATGATTGTATGTCTTTAAACATTTAATACAGTTTGTGAAGAATTTCAAGATTTTATTATGTTTTGTTATTATATTATGTATACCTCTTCTGTCATCTGTTATATTTCTCATTTCCCTGATTGTTATAAAGGTGTGTTATGATATTGCTGTTGCTGCCTACATACAAGCCTCATTAAAATATCCTTTGACATAATCTCTATTTATAAACTTTTTCATTAATAAATTTCATTAATAAATTTTGAAGATATTTAAACAGTTCTAATGAAGACTCAGTACTTTAGACTTTTAAATAGAATTAAACATACTAAGTAAGACATTTCAAAAAAGTTTGCATGATTAGAAAATACATTTAAAAAATAGCTCTTGATAAAAGTAACAATTATGTGTGAGTGACTGTATACCTATTATTCTTTCATAAATGTGCTTAATATTAAGTAAGTACTGACTGTCTCAATACAACATTTGGACTCAAACAATGTATTAAACTTATTATTATAGAAACAAAATGATATTAATAATTTCTTGTTCCTGCAGTTTACTATTAAAAACTGTTTTTTTGCTATGTTGGTATTTACAATAAAATTAGCACTTTCTGTCCTTGGACCATTTATTAAAGATTGCAGGGTGTAGGAAGAATTTAATTGTGCATTTTAAATAAACCTTAAATAGTAGTGTGAGTGTAATCCTACTTATTTTAACATCTGTATTAATCACTAACAGTTTCTCTGTTGTCAGTCTCAAAGTGTTGACTCAAAAACACATTTAATTTCAGCTCCCAGGGGTTTTTCATATTTTGCCTATAATCCACTTGTAGTACCTATTCAGACTGTAGTTATGTTTGCCCATTTTTATTATGCTTTTATCAGAATAGCAGATCAAACTCAATTAACTATGAAATACAAGAATGAATGAATAATGAGAATATTATGATCAAAGTGATAAAAGCGCAGTAAATAAGATGGCATGCACAATTTTAGAAGGGAGAAGCCTCGAAAATCAAGATTGATAACTCCAGGTAAAAAATAAAGTAGATGAAAAATAAGATGGATGGAAGATCTAAGTAATGAGGACATAAGAAAGATGGAGATAAGATCATCATCATCATGGTGCTACAGTCTTTAATAGCCTCTATCTTCTCAAGCTTTCTGCTTAATTCTGCTCTGTCCTTTGCTTGGATTTTGTCCAACAGTTGGCAACACCAATCTGTTCAGCATTCTGTGTTATCCCTGTCTATCTACCTCAGCTTTGGTCTACCTAGTCTTCTCATTCCCACTGGTTCTGCTGTTAGAATATTTTTTGTGGATATATGAATAAATAAAAATAATGAAGAAAATTGGTACAAAAGTACAAACATGCACCAGAAATTGTAAAAGAAAATTTAGTTATATGACAGCTTGTCACATAAAATTGATTTTTAGTTATTTAAGTATTCTGGGGAGTGCAGCTTATATGAATATGTTACCAAAAAATAAATAATAGGAAAACAATTGTAATGCATTTTTATCTACATGTATTTATTAAAGAACTATTGTTATTATTATGCAGTTTACAATTAAAATAAGTACAAAATACAGGAGAAAATATGTATAATCATGCTACACCTTTTTCATCATTATCAACCTCAATTTTATTTCTCCTGTGCCCTCAATACACATACATCTAAATTATATTTACTATTATTCTTAAGATGAACTTTCAATTAGAATGAGACCTAGGCCTAGAATTCAAATTAATATTATCATTACTATTGTTCTTAATGTAACTATATCCACTCCCAGTATGGAATCAAGTAGTATTTTTATAATGTTGATACCATATATCTATAAACTAGACATTTTTATCACTATTTTGCATTTTTACGGAATAATACATACTGTCAGTGTTTAGTTCTACCTCTTGTTATTAGGTTTTCTTTTTTTTATGATGTTGGTTGTACTTTTTGGTTATATAATTTATTTCTTTTGTTTTTTTTTCTGTAGATTTGTTATTTTTTTGTATTATTTATATTTTGTATCATTTTATCATATATTTTAAATTGTTAGTTTTTACTTGACACTGTACCAGTAGTTGACATTTTCCATTTCAAGCATAAATAATAAGCTTTTCCAATTATTTTTAATGTAATTATTACCATCATAGTTAAGTAGTATCATTTATACATCTTCTCTGTAACTGTAGAATTATTTAACTTTGAAACAGAAAATTCCCACCAAATTTTTGTCAAAGTGTTGTGTGAGCTTCAAGTGGCAACAAGTTTTCTAAACAAAAGTATTAAGAAGGTAAGTTTAAAAAAATTAATATTTATTGATTAAATTGTGAATGACTGTAGTTTTAGATATATCAATATATTATATGAATATTAAGGTAACATCTTGCTAATGTTTTAAGTTTGTTTTATTCTCAAAACAAAAATTAGGCTAGGTGTCAATTACTAACTCACAAATACACAAAAATACTAGTAGTTGACACTAGTGTCAACTACTAACCATTTATACTGAGACTGTAAAAACTTAATATTTTATTGTTATTTTCATTGTATATAATGTGTCCACTTATATTTTAAATATCACGTAAATGTATCCACTCTATCTAGTAGTTGACACTATGTCAACTATTGAAACACTTTGGATGTCAACTACTAAAACAAAAATTTTAAATTTCAGTTAAAAATATGCCTCCTATAAAAGGACAAATGTTCCAATATACAGAAGAAGCTATGGAGAAAGCTATTGAGGAAGTTCTATGTAGAAAACCAGTTTCAGCAACATTTAACATTACACACTAGTAGATTTTGCAGTGAACATGGTATTATATTGGTAGCCCTTCATCCAAATGCAACACATTTGCTTCAGCCAATGGATGTTGCTGTATTTCGTTCTTTGAAAGGGGGTTGGAAAGATGCAGTACACCAGTGGCGGATTGAGAATCAGGCTTCTCCAGTTTTAAGGAAAATTCACTTCTGTCCTCTTTTGAAAAAAGTTCTAGAGGAAAGGTTAAGTACCATCAATTTTAAAAAATGGTTTCCGAAAATGTGGCTTAGTTCCCTAGGATGTTGGTGCGAATATGTTTCACAATGAGAAAATAGACACTTCAAAGAAAATGCAGGAATTGCAGGAAATGAAACAAGGGAAAAACTTTATAGAGAAACATATTGATAAACAAAAACTAGCTCTTTTCAAAACAAGCCTAGAATGGAACAATGACAATGAAGATTTATTTCTCTTTTACTTTTACAAAAACATTTGCATAAAATACAGTCTTTTAGAAGAAGAAATAAACAATTTGAAAGCGAAACAAGGTGCAAAAGAACCAGATGATGAAGACAATATTATTGAAGATGCCACTTATATTGAGGACATACCAAATGAGACAGCCCTAATGTTGAAGACATTTACGTAGAGAACAAACCTGATAAGCCAGTCGAAGAACAGTATGAAATAGGTGAGTTATTAAACCAATCTGAGGCTGAACCAGGTAGAAACATTTCGGATGTTTTGGAAAGTCACACTAGTCCCACTAGGAAAAATCTTCAACATAACAATATTGCTATTATTCAAGACACTTGTGCTTCTTCATTAACACAATCACAAGTTCCATCTTCAGCAATTGAAGAATTACCTACACCTTCTACATCAAATGAAATTATACCCTCTCCTTTTAAATGAATACTGTTTTGGCCTGAACCCAGAGTATCCGCAGTAAAAAAAAGAAGAGTGGAAAAAGTTCCTTCTGTGGCTAGTTCAAAAGAATGGCAAACTTATCATGAAAATAAAGAAAATAAGAAGATCAAGCTTCTTGAAGAAAAACAGAAAAGAGCAGAAGAGAGACAAAAGAAAAGAGAAGAAAAAAACTTTGTTAAAAAACAGAAACTGAAAGCGACGCAAAAAAAGTAAGTAAGAAAAAGGAAGAATCATCAAGTGATAATAATGAATCATAGGTTGAATCTGGTAGCAGTAAAATGACAGTAAAACTTCTTTTCGAATGAATGATAAAGATGTGAGCGTAATAACATTTTCAAATCCTCATCAAATCCTCAAAAACCTGCAAAAGGATGCCCCAACCTCAGATACTCATTTCATGAGAAAGAATAAAGTATCAGTTTCCAGATTCAGTGGATGTGGAAACATCTAACATTAAAGTTCTCCTGTAATTACATATTCTTAATAAAATTATCAAAATATATTTGGGTGTCAATTACTAAACCTTGGATGTGTCAACTACTAATTTTTTTTCATTTTGTTGTGTCAACTACTGACACTTTTGCAACAATTTTTGTAAATTTTATAAAAAATATTTAGAAAGCAGAATTGTCCAAAAATTTATTTGTTAAATATTCAGGAAGGATTAGATTACCTGAATATACATATATTTTTTATTTAATTTCATCTACATCGGTTTGAGGCTAAATAATGTTTTTTTTTCTTCTTATAATGTCAACTACTAGTACTTACCTAACTGAGAGACATCTGCTACTATAGGTTCTATTTGATTTTTTACCTGGTAATGGTTTGATTTAGTTTCCCTATATTGTCATAAAGCTGAAGTGAATCTAATATAAGCAAATAATTTCAGAAAATAAATACTATTTGTGTTTTTAGATATCTTAATGATGGAATGTAAAAGTGTTTACTCAATAAAACTACAATATAGCTACATA